AAATGACAAGGCTGAATGTGGTGAAACCCTGGACACAATTTTTTTTAAAAAGACAAAAGACAGGCTGCATACATTCCCCTTTTTGCTAGTCTTATCTTAAGTTCTCTTAATTTGGTGTAAATTATTCACTTTCTTAGAAAATGTCCAACAAGCCAAGCCAGTTGCCCTTACTTAACAATAATCTTCTTTTGCAAAATTCTCCACACTAAAAAAACATTTTATCCACATATATTTTCATGGTAGAAAGCATGGCCACTCCACAATTTGTTTGCACACTGTACATCTCTAAATTATATCAAAGACACATAATAATTTATTGAGCTGTGTTCAGGGTCCTCAATGATTACATCTGCAGTAGAAATGCAGTCATAGTATTTCTTACTTTTGATAACGGCTTTGGAATATATACTTTCATATCCTGTGAGAACAACAACAAAAGAGGAAGAAGTTGTAAGTCACGCTCCAGCTGTTATGGTTTTTATTTTGGATAGATTTAAACTGAGTTATTCAAAATATGATGGCTCCGGGAAAACCTCTTATAACAAAATGTGCCGTCTGCACTGCAGGAGGAGAACGTCCCCCAACCACAGCATATGAATATATTCAGGAAGAAATATGCAAATAAATAAATAAATGAATGCATGAATGAATGAATGAATGAATGAATGAATGAATGAAGGGGACTTAGGTTTCGGTTTTTTTGGGGGGGGGATGGAGGAAAAATATTAGATGATAGGCAAGATAAAGGAGAATTTACATAAACTGTTCACAATCTGTTTGAGACTCAGGGGAGAGAGAGCGCGAGAGAGAGAGAGAGAGGGCGAGAGAGACTGAGAGAACATCTATTTTGGCACGACATTTAAGAAACATAATATATCACTTCCAGGTGCAAAACCACCTCAACTTTACAGACTTACTTTGAAAAAGTCGACTGTCAGCAATGCCAAGCCTGCCTATTTCTACAGCCCAGTAAAGGAAACACACACACACACTCTCAAACACACAAAAAACATGGCGAGTAACTTGGTGCTTAGGTGCTAGGAAAGTGCACTCAGGCATTTTATAGTATTGAGGTCGGCCTCAGCCATGTTTTGCTGAGCTTCATCAATCTCCAAGAGGTGCTACCACCAAGCTGAGAGCAGAGGGAAGGGTTGGCAGCGAGCAAGAGGGATGAAAGGAGCTGCATTAGGGTTGAAGAGAGGAACAGCAGAAAGAAGAGGGAAGGAAGGACATGGTTAAGGTGGGAAGGAGTAATGGATTAAAGGAGGAGAAAAAAGGAAGGACAGGGATATGGAAGACAGAAAATGCTCGGTGAAGGAAGAAAGAAAGAAAAACAGCTTCAATTGGGTCAATTGAAAGCTTTAAATATGCAGGAAAGATGCAACAAAAAGCAGGAAATGATAAAGAAATTAATAAAACAGGGAGTGGAAAGCTTGAGACTCAAAGGTTGAGGGAGGAGAAAATACAGAATATGTCGAGGATGAGTAAAAGGCAGGAAAACAGGGATGAAAGACAGAAGATGGCGGAGAAAGGAGACAAAAAATAAGAAATACAGTCGGATGGGAAAAGCGGCTTTAAAAGGAGAGAAGGAGAGAATCAGAAGGATAGAGAGAGAGGAGAGAAGAGAGATACCAAGGTGGAATGAAAATAAGCAGCTTATTAAAAAGGGACGGGGCTGGAGACACGCGGAAAATAGCAGCAGCAGCTTTTTCCTTTGCTATCCTCCTGAGAAATCTGTGGGTAATATGTTGCAGAGGAAAAACATTTTGCTTACCGCTCCTTAAAAACAGGCTTAACTAGGGGAAACCAAAAAAGGCTCGGCAGAGAGATAAAGCGTGGCTGCTGACGCCAGCCGATTCAGCTGAGGTGTTGGACAGAACTGGGTTGGCGTCTTTATCACCTTTTTAACATCATGTGACATTTAGTGAGAGCTTTGATTGAAAAAACGACTTTCAGAGTCATCTGTGTGTTTTAAGTTAAAGAGCTGAGTGGCATCCTTTTGTTCTACCATCGGGCTGCAAAGGAGATACAAACCGTTTTGGTAACGTGCTGCTGCAGAATGTTACGACAGCTGCTAAAAATGCCAAAAAATCACAGACACACATCAGTGACTTTTAGACACAAGACTTCTTAAAACTAGCTTAGAAATCAAAGTCAAACACTAGTACTACTGGTTTAATGGTTTAGCTGTATAGCATAACACACCTCAACCTGTCAGCATTCAGGTTTCATTTCAGGTGATGAAGCTTTTGATAACAAGATGATATCTCAGCGTAGAAAACGTGCAAAAAATAAAAGAGTAGAATCTGTCTTTTGTGAGTCAGACAAGTTTAAAGGACTGCAATGCTCAATTAAAGTGAAGCTTTCTTTGATGTTTGTTCGAGGTTCTGTAATCAGTAATCTTCATTTTAAACGTACAATACAGTGTTTCCCCTAGGTTTAAAGCATGGGGGGGGGGACAAGCCGACATGGCGACACGACGACACAAACACTTGAATGAATCTTGGTGTTCATGAGTTACTTTTAATGACAGCTGTCCTTTTCTATCGGAAAGGTATCCTTAAATGACTTCTTTCCCTGATTTCCGACTCTATCCACTATCATATCTCTACAATAAAGGCACAAAAAGCCCAAAAATGAATCTTTTTTTTACTTGACCTTCAGGGGGGCGACTGACTAAACCTATGTTATAGATTGTATTTTGTTGAGTACTTACATTACCTCAAATATTTCAAACAGTTATCAAAGCCAGAGAAATCTGTAATTGTAAGGGGACGTGTCTTGCCGATGATTAGCAACCATGACAGACAAAATGTTTATTATTGCCATGGAAACATCGGATGTTACATCAATGACCGCTGTATAAGGAAGCAGGAGCTGCTACCGAAAGCTGCCGTACTGTTGCTGTATGTGCTGCTGTGATAAAAAATTACTGTAAAATATACTTGGATACATCGTCGGTAAACATATTCACTTTCTCAGGTCAGTTTCACCTGTTCATCTTCACTACGGTCGTTTTCACCGGGGATGGGGGAGTAGCAGTGAGAACTCCCATGATTCCCCGTCAGCCTCAATGTCATCTTTTCTAATTGTAGTATTGATCGAGAGCCCCCTGGTGGCAGACTCTACATATTGTATCTTTAAGGTAACTTTTCAGTGAACTAGCAGGAGAAGTTTGGCACGGCGCTCGAGCACTGTGGGTAGAACGCGAGGTAGAGACCTGTTAATAAGACATATGACACCTTTTTTCTTCTCTTTTTTACAGACATTTTTGTTAAATATAGAAGATAAATTGGTATCATTGCTATCACTTCCTGCCTCATGTGGGCCTGACTCACAGTATGGCTCCGTACTGCGGATGGTCTAACCTTGTGGTTTAAAAAGATAGTGGAACACACACACGAGGTGTCTTATCACCAGGGTATCACAAAGTCACACTTTTGCCATCCCGGAGGAAGAGAAAACAGAGCCATGGAGGAAAGAGACGAGGCGAGAGAAAAGCTGGAAAAGAGAGGGAGGGGAGGGAAAATGTCAAGCTGTCTGGCCTTTTCATGGCAATCCCATCACGATGTCGGTCTGAGAAATTAATCTTCAGTCATCTTTAGATAGGAATCTCACACTTATCAGTCTCCACCCACACCTCACTCCCCCTGATAATTCCCTCTCTCACTCAAATTCTCTCCTCCTTTCCTTGCTTTCCCCCTCTTGAACCATCTCCTCCTAACCACTTCCTCTTTTTTGAAAATGTACAGTATCACTTGTGTGCCCTTTTTCTTGTCTTCCTCTCTTTCTAAAGACAGGATGCCCTCTCTATCTTTCTTTCTCTCTCTGTTGATCCATTATCCTCTGCCTGACCACTTATCTTCTATCCGTATCCCTCTATCGGTCTGTCTAGCCCACAGCCACACACACACACACACACACACACACACACACACACACACACACACACACACACACACACACACACACACACACACACACACACACACACACACACACACACACACACACACACACACACACACACACACACACACACACACACACACACACAGCTATCAAACCTTCCATTCCTCTGTAAACTGTCATATTGTTATCAACAGGATTGTGATGGCTTTTTTTTAAGTCTCTCCCCTCATGGCTTTTGGTTGTGACACTGTGTGGAAGTGCACATCTTATCTGCTGAAGAGAGGCGACATTCTGATCACACACGCACACCAGCCCTTTGTAACAGGGATTGTGTTTGATATCTGAATATCTGTAATGCAATTTGAATTTCGTTTATCTTGTTGGCGGAGAATGAAAAACCATGAATGTGGGATTGGGTTACACAAACGTTCATGTTTCTTCTGTCTGCAGAATTTACAACAGAAGGTTTTAGTTCCACAGGAAGCTGGTGTGGGGAGTTGAAAAAGAAAGAATACTCTTTCTTTGGTGGAAAGACTTTCCCCTTGATAAGCCCAGGTATCTGTATTACCTTTATATTCTAGTATCTTTTAACAAGGAGCCAATTCATAAATACATTTGGGTCCACTGCCCAAGTACAGACATTAAACGCTGTAATAGCTGCAATCTAATCAAATGGAAATGATCCTGACAGAAATTTGATTTTTTTTAAGGTAGACTCCTTTTTTTTAACCAAAAACCAACGCTGACTCTGCTGAAACCGTAACACCTCAGATCGAAGGCGTAAATATTGTCCAGTCCAAGCATTAAAGTCACATAACGAGGTCCCATCAGACTGATATCAAAGTGTCAAATATGTCAAATATCACTTCTTAATTTTTAAATCAGAACACTTCATCCATGTGGAGCAACAGTTGCCCCAATGTTATGCAACATCATCCTGTGAAACACACAATGTCAATGTCTCATTTGAAAACATGAATTCATGAGGTGAATGATATAAAGCCAGCGTAAACAGGACAGCATAGAGAGAAGGTCGGAGAGGCCCGACTGAGAGGGTGACAGAACGGCAGAGAGAGAGGGACGCTTACATGTTTCTCTCCTTCGATCCTCTTGTCAGCCTGTTGAACAGCCTCCAGGTACTTAAAATGCAACTCCATCAGCCGATCAACCTGGAGAGAGAAGGAAATGGAGGCAGACGGAGAGAAAGCGACAGGAAAAGATGACGACAGAGGAGAGAGAAAACAGAAGAGATGTAACAAGATGAGACATCAACAATTTCTGCTTGTATTCATTTTTATTAGAAAGGTTTATAAAGCAAAAAAACAAAGACATACAAATATATAATTTGGAAGAAGTTAATGTGTTGCTTTAAAATACAGTATACTCAAAGACATACCCAGAGTAACACCATGAATATGACATGATGGCATCTTTTCATATTTTAGGAGTTGATGGATTGCTTGACAAATGGCAGCCAGCCTGTCAGGCTTCATATTTGAATCACTCATTTCTGTAACATGAAACAGAATTCACTAGACGCGGGTACAGAGCTGTGCAGTCAGTGAAGGCTGACTGACTGACCCGAGTGTGAACCTGACTCTGTTTAACCTTCCCTCTGGCTCTGTCCTCTGGTAAAAATAAGATTTAAATGTGGATTACTCAGCAATAGCACAGTTTATAATTGCACATTTGATGTGAAGATTTGTTCCAACCAAATGTCTCATGAGTCATTCCTAATAGACTATGTCTTTAGAATTGGGCCATTATAACAAAGATATTTAAAAGATAGAGGTCTGGAAAAAGAGTAGTGATAACCATTTTACACTAATGGTTACAGGACTGGTTGACTCGAAGGCTTTCTTGCAAAAGTAGCACGGATGATGTTGTTGTTATCGATATAGCACACTTTGTTGGTGACAACCAGGAAGTGAATTGAGTAATTCAATGATACTCAAATGAAATGCTGTTTCACTGGTGAATAAATCTAGTCATATCGGCCCATATCTGCGACAAGATTAGCCGGTACCGATAGTTACTAGATAGGCTAATATCGGCTGCCCAAGTAAAAGTACATGCTCTAAATATTTCATAAGAGGATTGACTTGTGAAAAGTTTAACACTGAAAAAAACAAACATTCTGCTTCATCAAGAGTGTGAACGACAAGATTTGAGTGACTGTGTTCTTGAAATAAAAGCAAAGAAGAAAACCCATAACTGTCACCAAACTTTGATTCAAATGTTGCTAATTTCGACTAACCTTCTCACAGTCGTTCTCTGTAAATTTGGTGAACAGTCTGCTTCTCTGTTGGGACTTGAGATTTCTCAGCATGGAGGCGATGATGGAGGAGACGTGTTCTGAGGAGAGAGAACGGATGAGAAATGTCAGTTTCTGCTTCCAGTCGTAAACTTTTATGAAACTATCAGTGAAGTTAGACTTATACATGTATTACTTATTTGTTTATTAACTGACATAAGAGCATCTGCCCACCATCTCTCTCACAGCAGACCATGCAGTATTGAAGCCTCCTTCATCAAAAAGCGCATTGCTGATTTGCTCCTCAGTTTAAACAGTGAACTCATATTAAAAAAAAAAAAAAACCCAGCAAAGCTCCTTCACACCCACACCCCAACCCTCAGTGAGAACAAATCGATTAGCACTTGATAATTAGCAATTATAGCACGCACACGGCTAAGCTTGGATACGCTTACAAAGAGGGCATAGAACAAGAGGAGGAGAAAATGTTAATACAATTTAGAAATCAATTTTCATTTTCGGGCACACTGGATGAGGGGTATCAGTTTTGGCTGTAGCTAAATTCCATTTCTCATGGTGATAGAAATATGTTCGAGGCGGCTCTGGGGTCTTTTTTTACCAAGAGGGGGGTCTGAAGCATGTTAATTGACTAAATTAGCAACAAAAACGAGTTAGTCCCATTGAGTGTACTTGTTCCCCCGATTCATTCTCTGTAAGAGGTTATCTCACCATTTACAAACCGTCTTATTCACAGGCTGCAACACAGGGTGACAATCAGAGCCTAATGTTTCTCTTTATTATTAGAAAACAATACAGCATATACACAGGAGGGGGGGGGGCTATGACATTGTACCATCTGTAGATATACAGAGGAGAGAAAAAATGTAATTGGACTTTATCAACAAGAGGTCAATATTCGCTCTCAACGAGGCTTTGCAGTTGCTAAGCAACAAGACTACAGGAATCAATCCCATTTCTGCTTTTTAAAAGGGGTCGTGTTTGCTGTCAGCTCCCTTTCTGCAATCCCCTACGACCCACAGCATCCTCACTTACAACACTTGAAGGATAAGAAATCTAAGGGTCTATAATCTTCAAACTTCATATCTTTCATAATAAAACGTGTACGATTACATTACAAATGTGCTAAGCAGCACAGAAAGGAAGCAAATGCACTGAAACAAAAGACAGAAAAAACATTGTTTTGTATCTTTATGCGGAAGATTTTAACAGAAAATACATCCTAAAAAAATCTGGTTCCATCTTCTTACTGCTGAATCTGTGAATCTGAACCTGAACAGTTGTTTTGAAAGTAATTAGTTTGTAGTCTCTCTAAATATCTTACAGTGCAGTTCACCCTTTCAAACTAAAAGTAATTAAAGAAATACATTTTACTTAGAAACTCCTTGATTTGATTTGGTGTCTAGGGGGGGAAACCAAATTACTTTGTGTCTATAACTGCAAAATCCCGGACTACATACAACTAAAAAAGAGAATATTATGGCATGCCAAAGTGCAGAAAAAAAAGTAACTGCATTTCCCAGTCTGACTGCATGGCATCATAGTTGACAGGTATTACATACACTGTTAAATCTGTGTGATCAGACTGCAGATCCGGTACTATTAGTCCAGTTTTCCCTTCTTTTAATGTAGAACACTGTATTTCCTGTACACAGTGACAAGGAGGCTAAAGCGCCATTTCCAAAAGGATGCTACTTTATCAACTTGATCCAAGCGGTAATTGATGTCGCCACCTCCACGCCCTGCCAGGAAGGCTATTGATCGCTGGTTGTGCAATGTTGTCTCCAAAGAGTTTTAAACTAAACAGCGACAGCTAAATTGAGACACGTGAAGGGGTGGAGGCGGGATTACACTGTGGGTACAAGATGGAGGGCAAGACCTGGTAAAGGAGCCTTTAGAGAGGCGTTTGATCGATTCTTCATTTACATGCTTCGCTTTAGACCTTAGTGTCAACTCTGAGGGGGAAAAAAAAGGAAATTAACAAGAAATCAAGAAATGTTTCCATCTTATCTCTTTGAAACTAGCAAAACCTACCAAATGATCACCCAAAGACCAATGAAAAGAGAGCGTAAAAACCAAAAGAGAATCATTTAAAATATGTCCATAAAACAAAAGTATGTTTCTTTTCTAAATGTCTGAAGTTTACAAATGTCTGTAATCTGCTGCTATCAGAGCTGAGGCTGATGCACTTCGGATCAAACTTGTCATTTGAGAAGAATCTGAGCTCATGGTAGAATACATGGGCTTACAATCTAATACACACAACATCAAATACATCAAGTGACATCTGTGACAAATAGGGCTGGTTAAAAATACTGATTCATCAATGCATTACAATTATTATTTTTTCCCCAACTGAATATCGATTCAGAGAAATCCTGACATTGATTATTTCCATTGTAATGTCACCCCACTCCAATGGAGGCACTGTGGGTGCCGCCGTACTTTTGCATACTGTACTTAAATATTTATTAAAGAATGATGAAACGATGAAATACATTTTTGAGTCAGTTTGTTCTAAACCTATACAAACAATGCACACATCACTATTTAACACACAACAGAAGGTACTGTGATGAGTCATCTATGCATATTAGTAAATCAATATCGAATCCAAATTGAATCAGGGCCCAAAGAATTGAAATTGAATTGAATTGTGAGGTTGTAGAGAATACTCAGCTCTAATGACAACATTATTTATCTTATAAGTGCTGCTGGGTTAAGGTGCCATCCTATTGAGAAGCCGACCACAGGGAACAGTAAGCAATCCTAAAAATCACTTCCTGAAGCAAGGTCCTTCTTATTTGACACTTCAGTGTGTGTACTGAATTTAAACCAAAGTCAAAAAGAAAACCAAATTAAAAGTGTTTCTTTATTGCACACCGTCTTTTAGTGTCTGTTGTTTTGTATTCTTAGTCTTCTGTCCTAAACGCGGCATCTTTGGTGCCAGAAACAAAAGTTATTTAGTGATCATAGCTTTCTGGTGTTTAGGAACATTACATGGACATGAGCATCCATTATATCGAACATGATCATTTATACAACAACCTCTGAGCTGGCAGCATTTGCATCTCTGCAGAGTTTCTCTTGTGAAGGATTCACAAGCTCACTGCAAACATCCTCGGCGTCAAACACTGTGTGGGCAGGAGAGAACTGAAGTTGACTTTGAATGCACTATTTATTCAAACTCAAACTGAACCTCCAAAAGGAAATAAATGAAACCCATCCATCACATGGAACTACTTCACATTAGTAAACAAGTTCTAAGTCAACCTTTTCTGGAGGGATGTTTGCATTCGGATTACACTTCCAGAAGCTAGCATTCGATCATCACCCACTAATCATTCATTGCCTCATCTTTGCCCCAAGGAATCCAGAGCACTAAGTTAACATGCAAATAACCCTGAGTGGCCTGAATTCATTTACTGATCGACAGTTGAAGTAAGAGCAGTTTAGTTGTGAATGACAGGGAGGAAAGATAGGCGGTGCTTCCATGATGGACAGAATTGACCCGAACTGGGTGAGCCCTGGGGAGAGCAATTAGAGTCCCAGCACCACAGGCTAGTCTGTCAGGGTTTCTACAGACTCTTCTTGTCCACACTATGTACGGTACAGACTGTAAAATACCAACTTACATTAACTAAAAGAGTATTTTCTGCTGTGGACTCTCAGAAGTTATGATTATTAATTATTATTATTATTATTATTATGTTATTCAATGTTTTCTTTTTGAAAGGACATATCATCCCCCTTTCCCACCTTTTCAAACAGTCCCCTGTGGTCTAAATGAAACATTTGTGTTGTGCTTTGGTCAAAATATAACATGAATCAAACACCAGAATCCCACTATGATGTCACAAGTAAGCAAATTTAAAACAGAGCATTTTTCTCTGTGTTGTAAGACTTATGCAGACCACAAACAAAGGACTGGGTGGATTTATTTCACATTTTGTGGGTCAGTAGACACTCAGGTTACCCAAATATATGTTCAAAAACACTGTAACAGTGGATTTTTCATAATATGTCCCCTTTAATGTATTTAAACCATCCATCATAATCAGTCATTTAGCCTAGTTAAGTGTCACCTATGTTTATCAAAATACAAAAAAAAAAGCAGTGGTAGCAATATGGGGTTGCCCAAGGACACATCGGGCATGTTGCTGCAGGAGCTGGGAATTGAACCCTCGACCTTCTGGTTGTAATGAATGTTGCACAGATAAAGGTTCATTGTATTTGTTGGAAAGAACCACACATTCCCTAAAGAATAAAAGCCTTGACTAATTGAAGCAGTGTGTTTACTTTGACCTTATACCCGAGCCTATTTCATTACAGTAGGAGTTTACACAGATGGAACATTATCGACGCCCACTGGTGGAAAGGCCTAAAGTGAAGATGTTAATTAGATGCGTCTTTACACAGGGATCTAACAGCAAATCTCTCCCTCTCAAATACACTAATAATAGGATTACACAGCATGACTCTAACAACACAGATCACAATCAAACTTGCGTCATGTAAAACGATACTGATCTCCATCCGTGCCAAAGGCGCTCAGAGTTGGATAAGGGACGATCAAATGACAAGTCTCTTCTGATTCTTTGCATTTGACCGAAATATGTGATGGTGGTTTCATCGTTAAACCGAGATAAGTTTCTCTGTTAGAGGCACTTATCTAGGCTCATATATTCTGCTATGAAGACATGCTTCTTAAATCCTCATTTTCTACTCATACCAGAGGAGATACTGATGATAAAGCCAGGGCTTAGAAATGTCCATGTTTTATCTTAGTAATGAAACTGCCATAATTTGGGAGGGGAAATGTTTCAATTAAAGCCTCCCATTTCCTTGATTTTCCCGTCCATGCCTACGTCGATTTGAGCTGCAGAACCACAAAATGCGACATGTTTTATACAACAGGTACTTTTTTTTTCCTGCAGGCACACCTCACTCATTACTTATTTTAGTGCCCTCATTAGAAAACAAGGTTCACAGCAAGGGCATGGGCTCCATGCAGAGGTGTTTGCCTGGCATTCAAAAACACACCCCCCTCTGTGCACTCTCTATTCACCAAACAAACACCCACATGCACAGGAGCACACACACAATCCCTGTACCTAGTAGGAGCTGGAGATGGAGCTATGACTATTGTGTCACACCATGTAAATTAGTTGTTTACTTCGGCTCCCTCTCATGGTCGCTCGCATCATTAGCCACCTAAATATAACAACCGGCTGCTAACAATTTCCATCATGCAGTCTCATTTCACTGGTAATGACGGAGCAAGTACACCGATACACCGAGACCCCCAAAACAAGGTGAACGGCTATTTAGTGACAAGAATAGTCATAAACAGAACTATTCTTTTCATCTACTATTCTTCCACCTACAATGTTTCCATTAATTATCCCGTTCTGTATGAGGCCTGACGATCCCTGGTCATTTAGGCCGTGTCAATTGCGGGGCCAGTTTCATGTGGATCATCTTTGCACCGAGGTGATCGAGAGAAGCGTGGAACGGATGTGGAGAGAGAGAGAGAGAGAGAGAGAGAGAGAAAGAGCGCGAGAAAGAGAGAGAGAGAGACAAAGAGCGAGCCGTAAAGAATAGAAGGACAAAGAGGTCCCTACACCCTAATTACTTCTGTTTGAGGCGGCTGATAGTTAATTAATCTACAGTGTTATTGTGTTATTCTGGAGAGCCACTTGATTCACAGCACTTTCAATTAGAAGTCTCACTAAGAAGGAGGGTTCACTCAATGGGATTTATACTATGACAAGCATCTCATCAGGCCCTATAGCTGTGAGAGGAATCGACGAGACACGGTGGGATATTCTATAAAGGCTTCAACTCTCGGCATAAAAACAAAACAACCCGATTTTATTATGGAAAACTCTTTCCTAAATGTAATGCTTAATATGTGCTATTTATAAAATCATCTGTCAAAAAGAATAAAATGTGATCACTAGTAATGATGAAAAGTGAAGCATTAAATACTGACATTTACAAACTTTCTTTGTTTTGGAAAGAAAAAGTTTCATTTCTTTCTATTGATTTCATTTTCAGAACCTTAAGTGTTGAGGTTTAATGACCTTGGAAACACTTTTCTTAGTTAAGATGTAGAAATCACATAGAACCGAACACATTTACATACTGTACACTACAGCCCTATTCAGACCGACGTTTCTAGCCGCGATATTTACGCCCCTGTGATGTTGAGCTCCAATCTGACTGCTGTGCAGGCGTAATGAGGGGACAACGTGACCCCCTTCTGTACCATCTTCTGAGGTAGTTACAGAGGTGTTACAGTTTCAGCGGGGGCCAGCAGGGGAGCACAGCGCGGTATATGCATGCATGTCTGAACTTGTGTCTACGTAAAAGCTCCCACTGTGTTGTGCTTCCGCAACTCTGAAACACAATGTGAATTCAAAGCCTGGGATGACGGCTTAGCTTAATAACAGCACATGGAAAGAAACTGGGGAAAAAAAGCAGTCTGAAAAGGGCATACGTCGTTATTTGGTCACCTGCCTACTTCTGCTTTCATGATGGATCAGCACATCAGTATCTTCTTTTAGATACGTTTTTAGGGCTTTTTATGCCTTTATTTGATAAGACAGCGGATAGAGTATGTAACCAGGGAAAAAGTGGGGAATGGTATGCGAAAGGAGCTCGCTTGGAGTACGATGGCCTCCTTACAGTACATGGGGGATGACCTAACCACTAGGCCATTGGCGCCCCAAGCCTACCAGTATTCAAGCACAGATTGGAATAGAGGTGAATGTCAAGTTTCCATACTACGCTTTGAGGTTTAGGGTTAGGGAATCTATACCAGGCCATGTTCATCTTGTAAAAAATTAAAAGTTAACTTTTAGAAGGATGTTTAAAAATCAGAGCTGCTGGATTAAAAAAACAGAATCATATTGAGTCTCACTCTTCTGTCATCGTACCGTGGGCTTTTAGATACAGGTTGAGAATTACAGATCTACACCACACTTGCCAAACCTCAGAGGGAACAAGAACCTTCAGGGTGTTTTTCCACATTTCTTTTTTTAAAGCCCGTCTTTTAAGCATGTGTCTGCCTTGCCAGGGGCTTCAACACACAGGGGGGAAAGGTTTAAATGTAAGGACGGGTTATCTTCCCCACTCTCCCTCCTGCTGCTCGAGGAGGTCATAGGTTAATTCATCCAGTCCCTGGGTAAGACGGGACACAATGGAAGACAATTTGTTCTTCTCTGCAGGGCAAGGCTGAGACAGCTCCTCTGGATGAATCAAACTTAATTAATACAGACACACAGAGAGAGAGGATGGGGGTCCAAATTTTGGATTCTAGAAATCAAATAAAGAGACAAGAGATGGAAAGGGTTTCTACCTCTTTTCTTACTTGTTCATCTTTATCTTATTTCCGTGCCCTGTGTCGCATGGACCACCTATCTTTCTCTCTCTTTCTGCTTCTTGTTTGCACTTCCTATCTCTCACTCAGAGACAAGAGAGGTTTGAGGGTGACGGCAGGAAAATCAATCAAGATTGGATTGATAATGTAAACTGACAGGCCGAAGAGGCAGCAAAGTGTGATACATGAGCGAGATTAGGATTGAGAGTGTCTGCAGGAAACAGGTGTGACTACAGGCTGCAGTTCACCAGGATGTTAGAGGCGTAGCCTTAAAAGCTTCACTATCACTTAATCCTTGAATCTGCATTGTTAAGTTTGAATAACATGTAAGATGGTTCCTCTGTATGAATGTCAGTGTCACTTTGTGAGGACCATGCAAGTAAAATATCTCAATTTTTTATATCTCTCGAATAAAAAAAACAACAATTAGGTGGCTAGAAACAGATTTGAATCAGAGAGTTATTCAAAATCTGTATAAATGTAATGTATCACCTTTGAATCCTTGTTCAGGTAGGCAGTTGGAATCCCTTGCAGGAATACCAGACTGGGCCACTAACAATGAAATCTATATAAATAGGGACAAATCCATCCATCAATTATGCCGCTTGAGTATAGTGAGCCAATGAGTTTCATGAGCTAGCATGAACAACAACCACAGTAAATAAATAAAAAAAACTCTGAAAGGTATAAAACTCTTTTATAACAAGATCAATTGCTGCTTATTTCTAAATGCTGCAAAAATGTTTTCACCGCTTAACCAACAATTCACATCGAGAGAAAAAGGAAACTTCTTTGATTTTTTTTCACCATTTCTAGAAAAATCCAATCAATATGTTGTTTTGTCATTAGGAATTTTTGTCCCCAATTGTGTTATTATCAAACAACCAAGTGTCCTTTTACCTGAGGGGTCTGGATCCACTTCTTAGTCTGTTAGCTATAATCTTTCCTTTTACTGCTACTGACATTAGATGACACGTTTAATCGGGGGGACACATGTGCAGCTTAATGCAGCGTAGAAGAAGACGTCTTCTTGTCTGTCTGTTGTTGCCCTGTTCTATAGCGACTGACTGACCTTCATGCTCTTTCTCTGAAGCACCAGTTTTCTTCATCTTCTTGGGGGTTTTCATGAAAAGTGGAAAGATGGTCCGGAGGCCCAGGATGTCCACAAATTTATGGCAGTTATCTGCTCCCTCCGGTCCAATCATCCCGTGGTCCAGGACCTTCATAGCACTCGTCCGGGACATTTTCTTTTCCCTGCAGTCAGAAGGAGGAAGTTACACTGAAGTCAGAGATGATTGTTTTTTCAACAACATCAAGAATATCTTAAAAGGGAGTTCCAGAAAACCTGGAAGCTCAACAAACTGGATTGCATGCAGTTATGAAATCAAGGCATGTGTATTAGGTTTTACAATTTGCACTCACAGATATTCTCTTTAAAAAGCCTGTACAGAACCTCCAGTTTAAATCGTGCACTATTTAGTTTAGGCAGGTTGACAGTAGGTCTGCTCTTAATTTTTCCCCAAATGTTTATTTTAATTGGCCCGTCCAGCAGACGATAAACGGCCTCCATTAAAAATAATTAGCCTCTTGGATTTGTACATTGACACTCATATTCTGCTACTGCTGATATATATATATATTTATTTAAAAAAAACAAATTCCCATATAAATTCTGAAAACTCATCAAAACTGAAAATGTGTTTGACAACAAAAAGGGATTTTAGATATTTATGTTTTCTTTCATCAGCGTTCGGTGAACCGGCTGTTTCCTGATCTGTCTGCACCGTCTACCTCAACCCCAAGCCTGCGCTCAGGAAATGTAGCTGTCTGTCACCTTGTCACTTCCTCCACTCCCACCAATGACAGATGACAGTGTTTATCTCAGAGGAGGGACACATATTTCAGCAGCTGAGTCTGGTTCTCCAGACAGGCACATTATGTATGATGGACGGCTGGAGAGGCCGGAGGGGAATGATACACTGTGTACTTTCTGAGGGGAAACTGGGCAGTTCAGTTTGTAGACAGCTGACTTAACTCAACATCCTGGTGTCGTGGACCCTACGCGTCGCCTTCCCAAAAATTGATTGCACGTAGAGTTATGACATCAGGAGTTTGTTGTGATAAGAATCAGATTCTAGATAAGACTGAATCACTCAAAGGTGTCGGGAATGTTTTGCAAAGCTGTGATGATCGATCAGTCGGTACACCAAAATGTTCTCAAACTTGATCAGACTATAATATCATTCCAAAAAAAAAGAAGGCTAAAGGCTCGAGACCCCATTGATGATAGGTGGGGCAGGAGGTGTTGTGAGGAGCATGGAGGAGGCAGAACGGAGGGTCCGGGAGGGTGTGTAGGTGTGAAGGAGATCAGAAAGGTACAGAGGTGAGAGGTTATGGAGAGCCTTGAAAGTGAGAAGGAGAATCATAGTAGCAATGCGATATTTGACAGTGAATGATTCCAAGGTGTCTGTCTTTAAGAATGGCTGTGCTACATCTGGTGTGATACATTTATCTGTGCTGAGAATTCATCGAGACACCAGGTGGGAAATCTGTATGAAGCACGAGGTTGGAGAGGCCTGGTTGGAATTGAAATGGAAGTTTTGATGGGAAAACCAATAACTGTGTCTCAGTGAGTTGAGATGATTCTTTTTTTTCTGTTGCCGTCTCATTTTTTCTTTTCTATTTACTCGGCACCTGCATTCTGTCTGGGTTAGAAAGCGAGATGTGATTCATGTTAAAAATGAAAATGAAGGATATGATGAAAAAAAAATGGAATTAAGGAGATGAAGTATTAAGTAAAATCTAGAAGTTGGTACTAACAGGAGACAGGTTTTAAATACAATGGTCAAAAAAGTAGGACAAGCTGCAATCTTAAATACATACAACATATTTATTTATGTACAGTAGAATGTATGTGTTATGAAAGGGTGTCAGATTTTTTTTTTTTCAAAGGATATCATTAACTGCTCTCTCTCTTTCTCTCCTCCTTTCTTTTTTCCACCCCGTTTCCACGGTGGACGATTTGACAGAAAAGTGTTTTTGCATTCCAATAATGAGATATCGATTCAAGCCTTAAATCTGCGTGATGAGAGATGTGATTATCAGCGAGGGGATGCAGAAGCTGGGAAGGTTTCATAAATGCGTGCGATGCGTCTTTATGACTCTTTAAGGTCAAATCTCGGCAATTTGCCGCGCTCCACCAACTGTTGATTGATTAGATTGGTGGTCTCGCTGGCAACAGAGTCCACCGACGTGGTTTTTTTTCTTCGCAGAGCGACACGGTGTTATGCTCAAATGTTCACAGTGCAGAAAGAACAGGAGGAAAAAAGTGTTATGTGAGCTGTGGGGGCCAAATCATATTTATAATGACACTCAATGTACCCAATTCAACAATGTATATTTTCATTTTAAAGACGATTTCTATTGCTTTATATTTATGAATCTCATCTTACTGTACCTCAGTACGTTAGTATTTCAGCAGAGACATACTGAATACATCATGATATTTCTATTTCTGTAAATTGTGTGAACAGTTTTTTGCAAAAACAGCTCGATTAAGAAACACAGATTTGGATATTTTTCGAATAATAGAATAATCATGTCCTTCATTTTGTTTTAGACTAATCTGTCAAATCTCAGTTTGGAGTCACTGGAGCTTGATGTGTACTCATGGAGCAAAGACCTACAGTAGCTGGATCAAATAGTTTGGCCAGCGTAGCTCAAAGGGAGCTAAACGGCAACTGCTGCATCTACTAAATGGAAAGTTTTGACAAATATGGCTCCTTTTTTAAACATATTTTTGGGTCTAAATACCTTTTAGGTACTAAAAGCTGGCATTTGTAAGAGAGGCTTTAATGGCTGCCACATAATGGTTCAAGGCAAAGACACTGGAAGAGCTTTCTTGCCACTTAAATGCTCCAATTATCTTCAAACTGTCTGAAACTTTCCTACAGATGTAAACCTTTTCTTAGAAATTTCTGAATGTACTGGGGCCTCACCTGAGCATGAGATTCATCAGCTGGAGCCCCTCCCCTCTGAGGAAGCGGTCCCGGTTGGCTGGCAGCATGAGGCAGGAACACAGAGCATCGAAGAGGTTCTCCATCATCTCCTGCTCCTCGGCTGTGGACGGGTTGTGACGTTTGAATACCTGAGAGGACAAGGAGCGAGGGAGGGCACTGAGTGAGTCAGCGTTTAGAAAACCAGCAAAGTGTCTGCAGTAGTTAAGTGAAATAGTTTGGAAAGGTGGGCAATAAGAGCTGCTTTAGTGATAACAAAGACTTATATCAACAAGCCAGAATTAAAGCAAATTCTTGTACTATAAGTGAGAGAACAGACAGGCAGAGACAGAGAAGTGTAATGACTTATTTAGTGGTAATAAACTACATTTAGTCCTGTGTGTGTTGAATCCACAAATGTCCCACGGCGTTAAAATTTGAACCAGGGTCATTCAAAGTTTGTTGCAGAACCCGAGAGTTAGAGCAAAAGTTCATACAACTCACAGAGTTTTTTCTGTGAGCATTTATGTGATGTTAAAAAAAGTTGATTTATTGTGTAAGTCCGACTAAAACTGGACTTCTGATAAACATGTTAACATATTAGTCCAACTGAAATCACACTAAGTCATACTTCCTGAAGTCGGACTAGCACACATAGATAGCTGTGTAGACCATGTAAATCCATGTAAATGGCCTAAACAGGCTTTAAACGTAGCTCGACTTAATTGTGTATACAAACATATTGTCAATCTTTGATCTGGAGATACTCATGGTGGAGAAACTACTGAGCTTAAACCAAGCAAGACTCAAATGAACCTGTAAATAAATAGGATGTGAGAGAGCAAACAAAAACTAGAGTAAAGGTAAAATCTTACAGATAGTTGCTGCAGTAACACATCAATGCCATCCATCTCTCCCAACAGTTCTCTGGTATCTGTGGAAAAAAAGTAGAAGGAAGACTATGCAATAAAAATGGAGGAACAGGACAACAGGGAGATTAAATTGAGACATTTAGGGAGGAGAAGGGAGGAGAGAAAACAGTCAGGGGGATAAAAGTTTAAGTGGATAGATGAAGGAAGGTAAAAGAGAAGGAGGCAAAGACTAGGAGGGAGTGAGAGAAATGCTACAAAGACATACGATGAGAACAATCACTGACAAACACATTGGCCATGTGGGACCTCCAGAGAGAGAGAGAATGCAGAAAAAAACAAGGACAAAGGAAAAAATATTTACTCAAGAGTTATGTGTTTTAGGTAAAGGGCTGGCAAAATAAGATTGTTCTTCTCCGTGCTCCTTTCTGGACATCGAATGTGATCACATTTTGAATTGTTTTCTTCTTTTTTAATTTGAAACTTTGAACATTTCCATGAGCGAAACAAATAAAATTAAATAAAATTAAATATCTGCTTTGGCTGAGAATCATTTTTAAGATTACATGATACTGTTCGGCTTCTCATACACCCCAAATCCCTGAGAACTTGACATTCAGACGACTAGTTCTTTCTTTTTAGACAAGTATGTCTATTCCTATGTTAACTCTTATTGCCCTCTCTATTTCAGCATTTCAAACCCCGTAAAAAAACAAACACTTGGACCCCTAATTTAGCTTGAAAACTTTGGTGTTGGAGTGTGTATGGGCAAATTACATTTGGAAATGACAGCGCAGTCAACCTTGTTTGATGGCTGATGGGTCTAATCACTCACGATTATCCTTCCTGGATTCGTCACACTACTTAAATGCAACTCTTTCCAAAAGAAATTAAAGCCCCGGCTTTGCAGCTGTTACACTGAAGTGAAGAATTTATACTAAGCACTGCGGACCTTGTTGTTATTCAAGCTGGTACATGGAGTGCTGCCGTTCTGGGCTGATATAACCAGTCAGCGCCTTTTTCCATGCGCATGCCCGTTATACATAAACTGTCATGTGTAATATGGTTTTTAGCGTTGCAGAATGGGTGAAGATTGTGAAGAAATAATGCAGCTCAATCATCCATACATGTGTGGAGGTGACCATGTCTACAGAGACCCTGTCCTCTGCCTGGACTTTGATGCTTTGGTTGACTTGGGACAATTTTCTGGGTGGGGATTGGGTTTATGTTTCCCCACACCAATGACAGCACGCAGGAGAGTTCAGGAGTGGATATTCAACACCTGGACACCATTCAGACCTACGAATATGGCAGACGTAGCGGCAAAGAAAATACAATATAATCATAGTGAGGAAAACGAGAGTGAACATTTGGGTTTCCGCTTCCGGGCACTGATGAAGCAGCTTGAGATGAAGAGTGACGAGGAGTTGGTCGGCTTTCTGTTGGACAGGCAGGTTCCCAACGCAGGCGGTTAGCTTGGGCTAGCGTGCTTAATGATTGGCTTTTCCATTACAAGAAAAAGTAACATACTAAGTTAGGTTGCAGTGTAGGTAAGAAGCAGTTTACGCTCATGGTAAGTCTTGCTATCAAACAATGCTTATGACTTGACGTTTCAGGTCGCGCATAGGAACGACATGCAGCAGGTGGTTGCTGGACCGGGTGGTTGTGATCTCGCAGCCTCTGTCAGAGGCAGTAAGTGTGCACATCCGGTGACGATGAGCCCAGGAGGGGGGGCCCCACTTTGAATCAGGTGTTTACGAGCTGCAACAAACAATGCTACTGACTCCACCTAATGGTCTAATGTTAAATTGAGACTGCAGTAGTGTGGAAGTAGCCTTTTAATACACAGAAATTCTGTGAATTTGCATCAGAAAAGTGGAACAACCTAGACTTTATTTACCCAAAAATACTTTGTGCATTTAATCTGTTACTTTCTCTGTGCAGGAAAGTTTCCATAACTAAAAACACAACTTCATTAGAAAAATGGTGTATCTACAGGGTCTTAATTAGTGGGAATGAAATGCTGTTCTCGTTTGCTGCATGGAGTATTTTTACATATAAACCCTTCAGAGAGGCGTTTTAAGTCAGATTTGACAAGAGGCAGCGATAATTACATTCAAATTAGCACATCAAGGATTTTTCCCAAACTGTCATATTTTAATAATAGTCATGCGATTTGCATATTTTTTAAATCCAAGTGAATGACAGTATTTTAATAGGGAACAGCATTCCCTGGGAAGAAAACCTTTTTTTTGTGAAGTTTTATTTTGTATTTGAAGGGCAGGATGGAGAGGATAAATGGAAGAGAAGAGGGGGAGAACGAGTGTAAAGTGAAACACGACTCCCTCTGAATATCAATATGGCCTGTACCATTAATGAGAACCTGTCCAAGCACCTGATCGTCCTGTGGCTATCTGAGGCTTTACAGGGTTTTAGTGAGTGAGAGAAGGGTGCAGGAGACTGCAAATAGACGAGGAGAGAGGGAAGAAAAGACGTGAAATAGGAAGACTGAAAGAGCGGTGAGCAAAAAAGGGGAAATAAGGAAATGTAATGGAGGAAGAATAATCCAGGTAGAAGGAAGGAAAAGCAAAGGAAACAGGGAACTGTGAATTTTCTGTCTGTTCATGGAGGCTGAGAGGGAAAAGAAATGCAGAAGATAAATTAGCACCATTTGGAAGCCACAGACCATTTAGAGAGACACACTTACTGTCATTGTTTTGCAGCAAGATAGCCAGGATTTCACTGCAGTACAGCTTGTTAGCATCAAAAGGCATCTTTGCCTGAGAGGAAAGGGAGAAGAGACCACGTTCAAATTACCTCTCATCTCGAGTAACTTTGTTCTCCAAAGACCAGAGTATAAGAAAATCTCCATATCCTCTGAGAGACAACATCTATTTCAGATTTTTAGAAATATTTATTCTACAGGCACAGTACGCTTTAAATGTCTTCTTTTCTGCTTTACATGACTGGGCACCTGAACACATATGCATGCAATACAACTGATTTTTGAAACATTAGTGCAAAAGACAATTCTTCTTTTAAATCAGTTGCCACATTCTTACCTTGATTCTCTTGAGCAGCCACTGCATGAGTCCTTGCTGGGCAGCCTCTGTGCACAGGCCTGGTCTGAACTCTGCCATATTTTCGATGATAGCTGAGAAAGATTTAAAAATGTAATATTAAAAATCTAAAAATAAACCTTAAAGTCTTGTGTCTGCATAATTCAAGTTAATTTTAGCAAGTCAGTTAGGCACAGCATACACACTGTGTTGACGTATAGGACAGCGTTTATATCAATGCTTTGTAGTTCGGCAGAATCACAATGTCAACAGAAGAGCGGAGAACAACATACTGGAGAACAGAAAACACTATGCAGCCGTTTAATTACGTGCACGGAGATCGTAGCGGCCGCATACATACACTCTATGCACCGTGCAGCAGTCACAGTATAACGTCACTCCCCCCTACCATTGGCTCGAGGTGAATTCCCTGGAGAATATCCTGCTGCATTCTCACATCAGGCCATGAGGACTTGCTGCGGAAAAAATACTAGGGGGGCTTGCAGGAGAAACTCCGGGTGATGTCAGAGCACCAAATGTGGCTCTGGAGTATTTCAGGAGTTTCTGCAAGTGAGAAAGCCCTAATGCAGTCTGGGACACGGCTTTGCTCTGCCCCTGAATCAAACCCCACAGGGAGTGTTTCAGATACTCAGCAGCTTCTCGGTCTGATTAAACTACATTGCTAAAATATTGATGATTTGGTTATTTGCTTCTGAAAGTTCTGTGCTTTTACAATTGCCAACTTTCTAAAAAGGTTGATGCATTTTTGTAACAGGATGAGTAGCCTGCTTAGGGAGTTATATTTTGAAAATTGTCCAGATTGCTGTTCCTGCGTCCGACTTCTGTCCCAACTCATCTGTTTTGTACATTGAAACGATAAAAAAAAGACCAGGTACATATTTGAAGGAGAGCAGATTGAAAAGCTGCTTCTGAAATCCTTCTGAAGGGCGCTGCAACAAATCTAGTCAAAGCAAAAAGCATTAACTCCAGTTCGTGCTATCAGCTCTAGAGGACACATCGCAGCTGGAACATGACACGGTGAAATTTAAGCTTAACACTGGAAATGTGTCTTAAGCTGTCACTCAAGATTCTCTCGACTTAAAAAAGTCCCACACACACACACAAGTGGTTTTGATGTTAAATCTAGGCGAGCTTTCTGCATGATGCCGACTAATCCAGCTGGGAAAGTAACCACTGATTATGTACTTGTATATAGTGTGGTCTTCAATCAAAGCCCTCTATCGGCCTCATTTTCACACACATAGATGCTACACGGATAAACTTTGAAGAAGAAGAAATGTGAAACGCAACATTCCTCTTTTTATAGAAGGTCTGTCTGGGTTTCTGTCCCAGCTACTTCTAATATTATCAAAAGAAAGCCGTCTCTGTCCGTCACATGATATCTCTATCAGGGCAGACTGCAGAAGAAGGGAACAGAGAGAGAGACAGAGAGAGGAGAGAGATAGAAGAGGAGAGTTAGAGAGAGGCAGAAGGAGAGAGAGAGAGAGAGACAGATGAGGAGAGAGAGAGAGAGAAGAGGGGAGAGAGAAAGAGAGAAGAGGAGAGAGAGAGAAGAGGGAGTTAGAGAGGCAGAGCAAGAGAGAGAAGAGAGACACAAGAGGAGAGAGAGGCAAAATAAGAGAGAGAGAGAGACAGACAAGGAGAGAGAGAGAGAGGAGGGGAGAGAGAAAGAGAGAAGAGGAGAGAGAGAGAAGAGGGGAGGGGAGGGAGAGGGAGAGACAGAATAGGAGAGAAAGAGATTGCTGGTTGGTGGTGATGAAAGGAGGGAGAAGAGAAAAACTTGTGGGAATAGAGGGGAGGGAAATAAATGGAGGGGAAAAGCAGCAGGGAGGCAAAGGGGAGGGAAGACAAGTCAAAGATGAGGAATGGAAAGCAGAGGGAATGTAACAAGAGGATAACAAACATACATGGAGGAGAGGGTTGGGAGATAAGACAAATCAAATAAAAAAAATAAAAAATCTGTAGAGAGCCGCTGCAGATGATAGAGAAATGTTGAGAGAAAGATGGAGAGGGAGGGTGCTGAGGGAGAGAGAGAGCAGGGGCTTTATCAGTGATTCAAACAGAGCAGACAGACAGACAGACAGACAACATCCTGGAGGACAGCAGGCTCAGAGCAGAGAGCAGCCAAGGCAGACAAAAGGCTTATTCAAGCTTGGAGAGCTCCCTTGATAACACACACACACACACACAAACTTGAATAGCTACGCTCCCTCGATATAACCCACACTTGCACACGGAGCCAAACACACACCTAAACAGCCCTCCTGATACTCGGCCTCAATCTGGCAACAAAGAAAATATCATCTCAGTAGACTCATTCAACACAAAAAGAGCTGAGAGGCAGAAAAGTCTGATTCATGAGAGGCTAAATACAGAGACCACGACTTCTCAAACTATCTGCTGGCCCATGCCCCCGCCAAGCCCTTTTATGAATGCCGTTTAATCAATGTGACAAAAACATACTGCAACTTCTACGGCTAACTTTGAGGAAGAGAAAAAAAAAAAAGAGTCATCGACTCCAAATGAGACCTTGACAGCTTCCTTCGCCGTCACATTAAAAAGACTAGGACACTTAGCAGCAGAGAGAACGCTGTTAAGCTTAAAGAATACAAATAAAGGTAGTCTATGCTGTGTGTAGTGCGAAAGCCCCCCCTCTCTGTCTCTGCACTGGCCAAACTGCACTGGCTCCTACACACCTTAAAAGCACACCTGTCTCTCAGCTGTTTAGACAAGTGGGAACCTTTTTTTTCTTTGTTCAAATACTCCCGATTTTATTGAGCCGTTTTCTTGCAAGCCTCACTTTAATCGTAGCTCTTTTCAGACTGCTTTTTTTTTGCAAAAGTGCCGTAACATCACGTCTTTGTACATGATGTTTAATATTGGTGTCCCAGTCTGTGAATTCACATTGCCTTTCGTTGTTAATGGAAGCACAGAACAGCGGGAGCTACACATAGACACACGATCAGACACACAGCGCTGCACTCCCCTACCGACTCCGCCTAAACCGTATTGCCTCTTTAACGCCTGTAATGCCTCTGTTACTATCTCCGAAAATGGTACAAAGGGGGATCACTTCATCCCCACATTACGCCTCTACAATATTCAGATTGAAGGTGAAACATCACACCTGTGTTTTAATATTATAGTTTCAAATTGGAGTCTGAATAGGGCTCATGAGAATTACAAAACCACAGAAAAAAATCGCCTAGACCACCTGCAGTGTGCATTTAATTTTTAACCCATCATTTAAAATTCTTAAAAACACAAAGTTAAGGGCAGTGAAAGCCTTTCCATGTCTAGTTCTTTGTGTTTTACAGCTCACAAGAAAGGGCTCAGCTCGTTCTAATGGAGAGATGTAAGTCTGGGTAGATTTGATCATGTAAAGAAACACGGTAGCTACAGCTGCTATATGAATTAAGTTGATTTGGTTGTAAGCTTCTTAACATTGTAGGTAAGATAATATATGACATGAATATGTTTGTGGATAAAATGTGGATTAAAGTTTCCTTTAATCAAGACAAACAGAGACTTGTGTAGACTTGGTGCATATCTCCTTACCCAGTGTGTTAAAAATGCCATCAGCCTCCTCCTTCACCTGCTCATCCAGCCGGTCCATGTTCTGCACCAGCAGGGCCACCACCTGACCCTCCAACTACAGACACAGAGAGACAAATTTTAAGTCAGGGTTCTGAAACAAGATCACAACATAGAGAGGGAAACCAAGTTGATCAGTGTGGAAATACTTCATTCCTCTAGATCAGTGGTTCTCATCAGGTCAAGCCTCAGGGACTCCTTCATAAGAATTTGCAACCCAAATTTTTGAGAATTTTCAACCACTCAGATTTATTCAACCTCAAGACGGTACAAAATGTGTCACGGATGAAGGAACAAAACAAGCTCAAAAAATACTTCACAGACTTTTTGACACTATCTTTTTTTCCAGGCACACATTCGCGACCCTCCGAAAATGGCTCTGTGACCCACTTTTGGGTCCCGAACCACCAGATGAGAATCACTGCTCTAGATAAGAGCAAAAAAACATTGAAAAATTTGAGTTTAATGAGAAATTTGTAACCAGGACATCGTCTTTATTAAAAAATGTAATTTAAAATATTTTTCATATTGTACTGTTGTTGATGAGAAAAATGAATAAAAACTAAGTAAAAAACAATAAAAAAAATAATTTAAAGCTGCAGACAGAACGTATTTTTTTTTTGCATCAACAACACCAATATTCTTAAAATAGACAAAAATTAAAGGACAAAACTCTTCTCATCATGGCCGCTGTACAATGTGAAGAGTATCTGTAAGTATCAAGAAGTCGGGTCAACATTAACTTTTCAAATCCAACAACTTTCATCTTTTCAAATTCTTCACGATGCTTCAGAAATCATCTGAAAAACAAACTTTAAAGAGAAAATATGAAGGGCCACAAATTACAACTTTAACATCTGGACTCTGGCTTTGCAGAAGAAACCTGCTTACAGTCTGAGCTTCTCTGAACATGTCCCCGGTGTTATCAGTCAAGTCAAGATTAGAGACTCAACCAAACAGAGCTCGTGGTGGGGGGGGGGGGTTCCGACCGGCTGAATAAAAGTACTTTAACAGATGAAAGAAGACGGACAGTCGACACAGATTTATGAGCAGTCAAAGACCGCTGTGGATCATTTTGATTCATCTTATCAAGGATACCACCTGGCCTTCTGGCAACAAGGACAGAGGAGCTGGAAGCATTATAGCAAAGAGGAGAGACAAATGGATTCAACCAAGCCTTGCTGCCCTCAAACTGTTTCCCTGGGAAGAAGCTGTAAAGAAGAATGGGGCTGTGGGTGCTCCATTGCATGGTAAATGGACTGCGTTTATATAATGCTTGTATCCAGAGAGCTTAGCAGAGCTTGCACCGGAGCTACTGTTTCACAAAGCATCATATCACATTTCTCTTGGGACACAACTGTTTTCTTGTCTTTACTGTTTGTCCAATAGTCCCTACAACTGTTCCTGCAAGACACTCACCAGACCGCGAGCTAGCCAGAAGGAAAACCAAGTGATGTGGTTCAAACTCATCTCCACCTGAATCTTGTCTGTGCGTCTTTCCTGTCCATCTGTAATGTTACCAGCTGAGTCTTACCTTATAAGGAGGGATTGTGCATGTGATGTAGTTTGGTTGAATTGATGTGAGAAACAAGTCTCTCCTTTGTGTAAGTAAAAAAAAATAAACATGACGATGGACCACAGAGGCGCTGAAGTTAGTACTTCAGTGGGTTAAGTTACAGTCTTAAGCAGAAAGTGCTTAAGTGTGCTCAGGTTTAAGATTTCAAAAAGGGCCATGTGTTATAAACAGCTCAATAAGACGAACAAGAACCTGTTTTTATCACCTTCACAACACTGTCTCACACCCATTCTGCTCCAGTTAGCTAGTTAGAGGCTTTCAGTCACGATAAGCAAACCAAAATAAGTATAAAGAAATCAGCAAACTCACATCAGTTCGGACGATCAAGGCTAGTGAAGAATGAATTTATACTGTGGTGATGTTTTTTTAAAGGCTTTATGCTTTCGTCCTTCATGTGAAAAATAATCAGATAAGAGCTTCCTTGAGACGGAGGTGGATGGAGTCTTTTTAATCATGGCAGAGCAGGGAGGTGTAGTTTTCAGGTTTTATACAGTAAGTGTTGGTTGTGGTCATGGCGTTCCCTTTGTCTGCATCCACGCTGCCGCACTGCACTAAGAATGAAGTTTTTGTTAATAGATGGTATAAACTTTGGAGGAGCCAGTTGAGTTAAGTTGTACCAAGCAATCACCTGAGACGTTCAGGCCTCATCCTGAAGGGTCCGGCTGATTCCTTGTTTCACAAAATGGACGCAAACATCATAAAGATCCTCCATCTTTCATCCATCCAATCATCCACACCTTCATCTACATTCCCTGCGCACAGCAAATAGTTAAAAGCCCCCCGGATCCTCGTGTTTAAGTGTGCACATTGGATTGAGGTTTGTTGGTCAATAAAATCTTAAAGGCAGAATAACTTACTTACTCAATTAATCATGTTGCTAACAGGTAGATTGCATATATGCGTGTGGGATGTTGCCTGGTATAAAACCACAGATTATTTGAGGAAGTGTCATAGTGACAGTTTTCTGCGCTATTCTAGGTATATCAACACATTTTTGTAGTTTGACCTTTGTCTGTGTCGCTCAAAATGTCAGCACACATAATGGGACATCAACATCTACCCTGGCTCTCACGGCATCACGACACGCTCAGTGACAACAACAAAAAATAGGAAGAGAGAGAGAATGAGAGAGGGGGGGAGAGAGAGATGCTGAACAGAGTGTTGAAGCCAACAGAGCTGGAGGCTGACAAAAAGCCTTCACATTAAAAAAAAAGGGTACGAGAGGAGACGCTATAATTATATGGTTGACATAACACTTTAAATTAATATGTTTTTCCTTGATCAGGTTTATGTCACTTTTTAAATTAGATCTCAAATTTACTTAATAGCAACAACAACTCGCATAGATCACAAGGATACAAACAAGGTAAATTTGTAATAATTAAACTATGACAGAAAGCACAAATTAGCAGCATATTTTCCCCCAGTTTAATCATTATGCTTCAAATTTCACAGAGTTGTTTTGATTGACAACACCAATAAAGAACAATCTGTGAGAAGTTATTTTTTTCCCGGCAGAAAAGCGCTGGCTGTGCGCTAACGAGTGCTTGCATGAAGCGTTTGTGCGCTGAGAAGAAAAGTGTTGCTGCACGTCCGTCCTGTTTCTATGACAACAGTCTGTTGACAACGGTGGCTGTATGACTGACACTTCTGCGTTACTTTTTACTGTTTGTTTTTTATTTGAGATCGTTTTTACCAGTCACGGAGCAAAGAGGATGTGGGTACAAGACACAATCTGTAGGCGGCAAAAATACAGGGAATATCTTACATTTGGAAAAGAGCGTCTGTGACGTCAACAGCGCCTTTCTGAAAAGTAGAACGATTTTCAACTTGAGCGCTCGGAAAAAAAAACGTTGGGTGCTGCGCTTTTTCTCAAGGTGGTCGCCTGCTGCTGCAAACGCTCTTGTCTCATTGAAAACAATTTTACTAAGATGCTGGCACTCTAGGTGGACACGGGGCCTAAGTTATCTCTTCTGCAGATATGAGTGGGCGCCAACTAAGGCCTTCCCTCTGATTTATTCATTTCATAAATCTATCCCCTCCCTGATTCGGGTGTCAGAGCCAAAAAGCTTGAGTATCGACTCCAAAGTGCAGCTTCATCAATATCTTTAAAGTCTGGTGTAAATCCTGAACTCACCAGAGCGTCTATGAGTACCTCGGCCCCCTCCTCGCTTTCATGGAGTGTGTCGATATCTGTCAGCTCCTGCAGCAGGTCCACCACTGCTATGGCAACATGTAGCTCAGGCTAAGGACAATATGAACGTGATCACACATAACATATACCAGTGCCAGACTGACAATTGACTGTAGAATCAAAATCAGCTACTGAAAACCAATCTCATGATCATTTAGTAAATTTAACTGATAAATTGCATACTGTTTAATAAATTGCTTTGAATTTTATGATCAGATAATTAAATCATGTGGACAGCAATATTCTGCTCTTTTTGCTATGGTCAACAAATCTTGTGAAAAGACAAAAACCTAGTGTGTTTTCTAACAGATATCCTTAATTCATCTTCATGGAACTTTGTGGCCCTCATCAGGGTCGTCATAGACGGCCTTCATCAGGGTCATCATAGGTGGCCCTCATCAAGGTCATGGATGACACGTCAGTCTAATTTGTTAATAAAGTCGATCTTCATACTACAAGCTGGAGCTTTTCAACCTCTTCAAGCCTTTCACCCATAATACACCTTAGTAGTCAGAGCCCACACATATATATCAAAGAAAGGATATCAGTGTTCTCATGACTGAGGAGGCCCAGCAGGGAGTGGACAGCGTTGAGCTCCACCAGCAGGTGGTACAGGTCGGGCATTGTGGCGATCACATGCATCTCCTGGATGATGTCGTTCAGATCCAGCTCAGACTCCATGAACCTGTTTTAAAGAGCAAGAAACATTTTGATTTGCAACATTTTATTTAAATATAAATCACTAAGCACAATAGAGGGAATGTAATAAATAGATACCCTGTCATGTACTTTATATATACTCCATTACTTAAGAGACAGAGCGCTGTATGTTTAGGCTTAAAATATTTCATTATTACATATGAAATGTAGTTTATCACCTATTATAGTGTTAGAGTTCTTAAAATATATACAGCCTATAGAGCAAAGCTTTGTGAATGGTCAGTACCACACTTACTTCTCTGGGCTGTCTGGAAACTTAATCCTCAGCTCCTGATTTTTATACGACCGTTTCTCAAAGGTTAGGATCATTTTCTTCACTGAACTCTCGTCCACCGGCTCTGCCTGTTTGATTGGTTCACAGAAGGAGAGAGGATGAAATGTTTGAAAAGGGAAGACAGAGAAAGAGGAAAGAAAAATCTTTCTTAGAGGGAAGCTGCTGCAATGACAGAGAAATATCAAGAGTCAAACTAATTATGTGAGTTGAGCAAAGAACCCAGAAGTTTTCGATGATCCAGGGGCTTGTAAGTGCATTTAAGTGGAAGGGGAATGTTTTTGACCTCCTGCTGGCTTAAAAGCCCACTAAAGTGTTGAAAAGATAATGACAGGTTAGGAAATTACAATAGTCAGTCATTATGGCACAGTGCAGCACTTTGCTTTGAGCAGCTCTTGACACGGTGAATAAAAAACCTTGGCACCAGAGCAGAATAATACATTTTCTTTGGCCTCAATTAATATGGCAGCAGTGGTACTGACAACGGGTCTTGTGCTATGGTTGTATGATTTTAGATTTGAACTCAACTTTCAAGACGCGAACACAGACGACTAACTTCAATTCTGCTAATTAAAAAACTATCAGGATCTTAAACTAAAGGTCTGTCCATGTAGCCGAAAGTCGACTATTTACTCTCTTTTAGCTGACATGTAGAAGTCCTCATTCATGCAAGGCCTGCTCCGACCTCTACCTCTACACCAAGGAAGTGTGGACAACAGGAACACGAGAAACGCGGGGGACTCGAGGACTACAAAGGAGAAATCCTTCCTGCATCATATCTCATCTTCCCATATCCCATTTTTCTTTTGTAACATAATGATAAATAAGGTCTTTAACCTGCTCTTTGGTAAAGCGCCTCGAGCTAACAAATAATGATTGAATGATTGATTGATTCACCTTGAGCTATGTTTCTCTGCTTTTTAGTTTATACTGTTACAATACTTGACTCAGTTGTAAGTATATCATTTTCCACTGTTGCGTTTGTCTTGCGTAAAAAACATCCAATGTAGTGGTATTAACACAGAAACAGTCACCATTACGGAAGAATCCTTCTCTGCCTCTGTCACGCACTACTCAGCACCCCCAGCTCTCTAACCTATACCAGCTGAGCATTTGGAGTTGTAAGAGTGAGTCTGAAACAGATGATCTCAGGTAAAAAAAAGAGAATATCAAAAATGATCAGGAACCTGACAGAAATGCAAACAGCAATATCTTTGCCTACTCTGCTTCATCCCCAGTGTGGATGACGGGGAATGAGTCTGTAAAAGCTGACAATTAAACCTTTGAATTATCCTACTTCTGCATCACAGTGCAAATAAAACAGCAATGATACCTTTAATACATAACAGAACAAGTTTTGCAAAACTATTGTGTATGATAAAGACCAATGTGTGCCTCTCTGAGAAATTATTTTAGTAAAAAAAAAAGAACCCCAGACTGCATTATATAAATTACATTTGCAGTGTCCACTACCATTGTCAAAAATTGTGATGTGATGATAATGTGATCAAAATCGAACCTTAAATTTAAAGGCAGGGTTGGTTATTTTTTAACTGTAGAGCTTCTCTGTCATGGTGCTGTTTGAATACCTGCTAATTTATTATTTCAACGCCAAACTTTGTTACCACAGGGTCTTTTTCAACCACATTCTCCTTACTCTTCTCTGCTTTTTAGCCATAGTCCCATAGGCTTACCTTCCAGTCTCAATGGAATTGACAGAAAAACGGAGGATAGCTGTAGGACAGTTTGGGCTCAATCTGACTGTGACTGTACAATCCTGTGATTGCATGACCCTTGTGCCCAAGCAGCCCTCCCTCTAATAGGCCAAATATTCATACATTGAGTTTCTTGACAAATACAAATACAAATACTTGAACGTTACACAAATGTAACAATTCTGTATAATTTCCCCTACCTCAGGTTCCTCTTCATCCTGGTCCATTAGTTTCTCCAGGATCTTTTTCTTGTCCCCAGACAGCTCCTCAGTGTCCCTCATTTCACCCCCAACATCAATCCCTACTCCGGCTGCAGCTGCTGCTTCCCGGTATCTGGCCAACTCCCTGGCACTCAGCCCCTTCTGCTGCTTCCCTCCCCTGGAGTCTTCATCTCCTCCTGCTGATCCGCCATCCCCGTCCCTGGGACGCTTTGCTCCTCTGTCAGGCTGCAAGTTAAAAGGACATGTTGAAGTTTTACAATGTGCATACACAGTCATGTTGAAAATTAAAATGAAATAGCTCAGATCACTCAGTGTGGGACGAAATTAGTAAGAGGATTTTTTTTTCTATAACATTTCATGCAAAAATTAGAAAGAGATACTTAATACTACATTGTTATATACCACACAAAAGTATTCCTATGCACCTGACTAGACAAACCACAGCAAAAACTATCAAAACAAATTGAAGTAGGCAAAACTGCTTTAAGTCTATTCAAAGATAACTTTGAATTACTTCTGTGTGTCCAATAAGCACATTTTGTTTCAGTACATAAGCAGGTGTTCAGTAGATATTCCGAAGAAATGAGAACTACTATAACCAGCTGCTTCAGGCAGTTTTATGATAAACATCGAGAGAAAAAATTATCTTTTTTTTCAGCCGAATTTTTAAATGCATATTAATGATAGGGGAAATGCATTTTATGTCATGATGTGTGGTGTAATGCAAGGATTATAAGTGACTACACGTCAATTACAAGATTTACCAATGGGTACTGGCATGCTAAACAGAAGATGTCTTGGACAAAATAATCTTCAGATCTACCCAGCCAGTATTCAGGGATGTATATGGTTTATGTGTCAATGTAAAAGCATTTGTGTTTTCACCTACTTTATACACTAATATCTATAATAACCAAGTTACAGTCGTAGTCTACCTCTTAATTTTCTGAAGCCAAATAATTAGCAACCTGTTAGTTAGCATGATAACTGCTCGTATTTAGTTAAACTACAACAAGTCGAACAATGTAATAGTAACTAACTAATTTCAGTAATGGTTTCTAGAACATACAGACCCATGAAAGTAAATAATGAAACAAAATTAAAGCGTTCTTGCAAGACGTGCATCATTATTTGCAAGCGATGCTAATGCATTAACTCCAGTGAATGAAGTAAGGATTGCTAACGTAAAGCCTCACAACAGTAGTGAGCAGAATAAAATACTTACCTGATAGTTAAGGAGCTCCCCAACATCCATATCTCCGGAATAAAAACCTAAAGGTGAAAATGTTTTGCTCAAGCTTGGATATTTAAGCAGAGCGTGAAATTGTGTAAATATTTATCCAGCTAACAACAAGCTTTCAAAGGAGCAGACATGCTTGCCGTAAAACGTTTTGCTTCGCTGTCGTAGTAGGAAGCCGCAGTAGGAAGATACTGTCGTACACTTTGACTGTCACTCTTTCTGCAACCCTGGGCTTCTCACATAAAACATCAATGCTTTAGTGTCTTGCATTGTAAAATGTGGAACTGAATAAAATGTTTGAAAATAGTTCCAGTTTAAAGTATATTGTGTGCTGATACAACTTAAATGGTAAAGGGAATGTAATGTTTTAATGAATTTAAGTTGTGCACATTCACAGTGAACAAAAGTAGGTATCATACACTTAAATCAAAAAGTTATTTTTTACTTTTAAATTATGTTTTCTTTTCTTTCTTCATGAATTTTTATTCCATGAACTTCCTTCTGTAAAGCTGGGGGGAAAAGTCCATCAACCTAACAACATATTTGTGCTGCATTTCTACAATTTCGCATTATCTATGATAATGGTGTGTTTAATAAGCACGCAACATGGATGCACTTATTTCAAAAGTTACACATTTTGAGACAAACTGGAAAAAGATGTTCTAATCGAGTTGTATCACAGGTGACACAACTGTGGCTGTCACAACTAATTTTTTCAGTCTGTAGCACAAGGACAAAAAAGTATGAACCATAAGGATGAACTTTAGGCCTATATTTACAGAAGTAACTAAAATCACAAAGCAGGAGGGTACATTTTTTTGATACTATCGATCATTATAATAAGTTGTATTAAATTTGTTAACATATTTTTTATACTTGCCACACAGCATGTTGCGCCAAAAGTAATGCAACCAATATGTTTTCATTCCCAATAGATTTCTTTAGCTTATTTGCCAATCCTGATATAAACCCCCTTAATTAGGCAGGTTAAATCAGACCTGACTGTCCTCATCAGACCCTGCACATGAAATCCTAGTCTTAAGGGCTCAATTTAGCTGTATTCATACTTGAGAGCTTTATGCCAAGATGGCTTAGTGTTCCAGACAGGCAGAAAATCGTCTTTTCAATAGGATTCATTGGGAAATATATGAGTGTTGCATGGTGTAGAAGCCTTCATTGCCATTCCAGTCTCTGGTCAGTGATCTGTGACAGTAGAACAATAGAAACAACATTTAAAAGGAGGACCACTGCCAAGCAGTAGAGCTTGACGTCCCAGCAAACATGAGGGAATAAGTGCTTGATCAAAGGAAAGAGAGACATGGGGTGAAAGAGGGAAAAGGAGAGCACGAGGGGTGAAAAAGACATTTATATGGAAATCTCATCCAGGGATTACAGGCTAGAGACAGCTTCAGATGAAAACAAAGTTTGATTGGGAAAATTGCATGTTTGCTTTTTCTGAGGATGATCACTAAGTTAGGATCAAAATACATACAAAAAGTAATAAAACACAGACTGTTAATTCAAAAATGTAATTAAGAAGAAAAATGCGTTATCTATATATGAAAAATGAAAACAAGATCATAATGTCGGAGTTCTGTGTAAATGGTGCTTAATCACAAGATTTTATGCACAATAGTTATTTATATCCATTAGGCCACTGGGGCTTCACAGGACTTTGTTTTATCAGTTTTGTCCACATACGTGGACTTCCACAACAAAGCAACAACATGGGAAACATAATGGATGCTTTCAAATGACATAACAATGCCCTCTCAGGCCAGTGTGCTAGTAACAGAAACCACAGCTCACTTTGGTCATCCATCCTACTCCAATACTCCAATCCCTGAATTTATCAAGTAGTATTTGATGGAAATCACACTGTTGTTTCAGATTCTTCTCAGGAGGTCCCAAGATGTCTTGTTTGGGCTACGCCTTTTGATTTGGAAATTCTGTTTGAGTTCACAGCTGTTGCGTACAGAATGACACTGGTCTGTGAGGAAAGCAGAGAAAGTCAATTGCACAGGTGGCAGGAAAGCTGTGTTAGCAGAGGATGGTTTCGATCCATCGACCTCTGGGTTATGGGCCCAGCACGCTTCCGCTGTGCCACTCTGCTGTAAATCACCCCACCTGGGACTTGAACCCACAATCCCTGGCTTAGGAGGCCAGTGCCTTATCCATTAGGCCACTGGGGCTTCACAGGACATTGTTTTATCAGTTTCGTCCACATACGTGGACTTCCACAACAAAGCAACATCATGGGAAGCATAATGGGTGCTTTCAAATGACATAACAACGCCCTCTCAGGCCCGTGTGGTAGTAACAGAAACCACAGCTCACTTTGGTCAACCATCCTACTCCAATACAGTATGTCCCAGCTTTGGGCAAAGCCATCTACTCTGAATTTATCAAAAAGTAGTTGACGGAAATCACACTGTCGCTCGCGATCCTTCTCAGGAGGTCCCAAGCTGCCCTGTTTGGGCTACGCCTTTTGAATAGAAACTGCTGTTTGAGTACAAAGATGTTGCATACATAATGACACTGGTCTGTGAGGAAAGCAGAGAAAACCAATTGCACAGCTGGCAGGAAAGCTGTGTTAGCAGAAGATGGTTTTGATCCATTGACCTCTGGGTTATGGGCCCAGCCCGCTTCCGCTGTGCCACTCTGCTGTAAAGAACCTGATATGGGACTGGAACCCACAATCCCTGCTTTCAAATGACATAACAATGCCCTCTCAGGGCAGTGTGGTAGTAACAGAAACCATGGAGGAGCTCACTTTGGTCAACCATCCTACTCCAATACAGTATGTCCCAGCTGTGGGTAAAGCCCTCCACCCTGAATTTATCAAGTAGTAGTTGACGGAAATCACACTGTCGCTCGCGATCCTTCTCAGGAGGTCCCAAGCTGCCTTGTTTGGGCTATGCCTTTTGAATAGAAACTGGTGTTTGAGTACAAAGATGTTGCATACATAATGACACTGGTCTGTGAGGAAAGCAGAGAAAACCAATTGCACAGCTGGCAGGAAAACAGTTTTAGCAGAGGATGGTTTCGATCCATCGACCTCTGGGTTATGGGCCCAGCACGCTTCTGCTGTGCCACTCTGCTGTAAACCACCCCAGATGGGACTGGAACCCACAATCCCTGTCTTAGGAGGTCAGTGCCTTATCCATTAAGCCACTGGGGCTGCACAGGACTTTGTTTTATCAGTTCCGTCCACATACGGGGACTTGCACAACAAAGCAACAACATGGGAAGCATAATGAGTGCTCTCAAATGACATAACAATGCCCTCTCAGGCCAGTGTGGTAGTAACAGAAACCATGGAGGAGCTCACTTTGGTCAACCATCCTACTCCAATACAGTATGTCCCAGCTGTGGGTAAAGCCCTCCACCCTGAATTTATCAAGTAGTAGTTGACGGAAATCACACTGTTGCTCGCGATCCTTCTCAGGAGGTCCCAAGCTGCCTTGTTTGGGCTATGCCTTTTGATTTGTAAATTCTGTTTGAGTACACAGCTGTTGCATACAGAATGACACTGGTCTGTGAGGAAAGCAGAGAAAGTCAATTGCACAGGTGGCAGGGTTAAGCTAAGCGAAGCTTGGCAATCCCTGGCTTAAGAGGCCAGTGCCTTATCCATTAGGCCACTGGGGCTTCACAGAACCTTGTTTTATCAGTTTCGTCCACATACGTGGATGGTTTTGATCCATCGACCTCTGGGTTATGGGCCCAGTACGCTTCCACTGCACCACTCTGCTGTAAAGAACCTGATATGGGACTGGAACCCACAATCCCTGCTTTCAAATGACATAACAATGCCCTCTCAGGGCAGTGTGGTAGTAACAGAAACCATGGAGGAGCTCACTTTTCTCAACCATCCTACTCCAATACAGTATGTCCCAGCTTTGGGCAAAGCCATCTACCCTGAATTTATCAAAAAGTAGTTGACGGAAATCACACTGTCGCTCGCGATCCTTCTCAGGAGGTCCCAAGCTGCCTTGTTTGGGCTACGCCTTTTGAATAGAATCTGCTGTTTGAGTACAAAGATGTTGCATACATAATGACACTGGTCTGTGAGGAAAGCAGAGAAAACCAATTGCACAGCTGGCAGGAAAAGGGTTTTAGCAGAGGATGGTTTTGATCCATCGACCTCTGGGTTATGGGCCCAGCACGCTTCCGCTGCGCCACTCTGCTGTAAATCACCCCAGATGGGACTTGAACCCACAATCCCTGGCTTAGGAGGCCAGTGCCTTATCCATTAGGCCACTGGGGCTTCACAGGACTTTGTTTTATCAGTTTCGTCCACATACGTGGACTTCCACAACAAAGCAACATCATGGGAAGCATAATGGGTGCTTTCAAATGACATAACAATGCCCTCTCAGGCCAGTGTGGTAGTAACAGAAACCACAGCTCACTTTGGTCAACCATCCTACTCCAATACAGTGTGTCCCAGCTGTGGGCAAAGCCATCCACCCTGAATTTATCAAGTAGTAGTTGATGGAAATCACACTGTCGTTCAAGATCCTTCTCAGGAGGTCCCAACTTGTCTTATTTGGGCTTTGCCTTTTGATTTGTAAATTCTGTTTGAGTACACAGCTGTTGCATACAGAATGACACTGGTCTGTGAGGAAAGCAGAGAAAACCAATTGCACAGCTGGCAGGAAAACGGTTTTAGCAGAGGATGGTTTCGATCCATCGACCTCTGGGTTATGGGCCCAGCATGCTTCTGCTGCGCCACTCTGCTGTAAACCACTCTAGATGGGACTGGAACCCACAATCCCTGTCTTAGGAGGTCAGTGCCTTATCCATTAAGCCACTGGGGCTGCACAGGACTTTGTTTTATCACATCCGTCCACATACGGGGACTTCCACAACAAAGCAACAACATGGGAAGCATAATGGGTGCTCTCAAATGACATAACAATGCCCTCTCAGGCCAGTGTGGTAGTAACAGAAACCACAGCTCACTTTGGTCAACCATCCTACTCCAATACAGTATGTCCCAGCTGTGGGTAAAGCCCTCCACCCTGAATTTATCAAGTAGTAGTTGACGGAAATCACACTGTCACTCAAGATCCTTCTCAGGAGGTCCCAAATTGTCTTGTTTGGGCTATGCCTTTTGATTTGTAAATTCTGTTTGAGTACACAGCTG